AAAGGACATGGAAAAATGGAAATTTAAACATCTACAATTCCATTACAACTTGACAATCCCCATCTGCTGAGGAAGAACATGCAATATGATTGATAGGTCTAGAACAGTTACTAATGAGATCATTCGTCAGGAATGAACTTTCAGAATAAAATAAAACCTGCTGTGAAAATTTAAAACACAGGTTGAATTTCAATCACTTTGTTGATGCCTTCATTTTTCCTCCAGTGCCAACATCAGGTCAAAATTAAAATTTGTTGCTAAATAGCTCATTTTAGCATGCTAACATGCCAAATGAGGATGCTGACCAAACACCTAAACATCAGCATGTTAGTAATATCATTGCATGTTAGCACGCTGGCATTCAAATTTAGGTTTTACCTCACAGAGCTGCGAAGACTGTAGACGTGCTTCACTGTAATTCTGTCCTGTTCCTCCCTACATCTCTGGTCTGCTTCTGGTGGCGTTGTAATGCTAAATATCCCTCCTGGGGAACAATAAAGTTTTATCTTAGCTTTTCAAAATGTTGCTTTGACACTGAGACTCCAGCAGGGACTTTTTGTAGTTCTGCTTTATTTAATGGAAAACACAATCAGCCTATCGTCACTCCAGAGTTAAAACATAAACCTAAACAGCTCAATTAAATAGGGGCTCCACTGAATAGTCTTAGAGAGTGATAGACGAGAAAAGGTGATTGAATAAGCAGAGGGGCCAGGGAGCCTGGGTGAAGGAGCACACAGTGAGATCTGTGTGGACAGGCCTGTAATTGAAGGAAAGGAAAGGGGCCTTAACCTAGATCAGTATCTATCACTCCAGCTGGAAAATAAAGCTCAACACCCACATACAGTCTTTCCAGAGAGGGAGAGGGATAGAGAAATCAGGGCCCCTGATGAGAAGTAAGTCTATAAGGAGGACAGAGAGAGGGGTGGAGGTGATGTAGAGACAAACACTGGACACGTGTGTATGTGTGATGTTCGTTTCTCAGAGCTCTGACACAGATGGGAGAAAGGCAAGGAGAGAGGATGTGAAAGTAAGCGAGAGACAATGACAGATAGAGGGAGAGAGGAGATCAACATGTTGAGATAGAGCCCTGGAGACGCAGCCACCAGAGAAGCAGAGAATTATGGGAGTGCAAATTAAATTACACCGGAAGGGACAGTCAGGTCTGGACCTGCAGGAAACACTGCACATGGGGCTCCTTGTGTGAGTGTGTGTGTGTGTGTGTGTGTGTGTGTGTGTGTGTGTGTGTGTGTGTGTGTGTGTGTGTGTGTGTGTTTGTGTGAAGAAAGAAAGAAAGAAAGAATGAACAAGAAGGAAAATGGAGAGACACACCAAATCTGCTTTTGCACATCCCTCTTCCATTATTACATTACTGCGCTGGTGCATTGTACAGTACGGTGTACTGTACAAATCACACTGCACCAAAAGTTCAAATTCTTTACATTTTTGTAGCAGAAAAGCTTTGTTTGATCACAATAATGTGATAATAATGTGAACTTCCTTTAATAAAGCATGCCTGCATGCATGTTTGTCCAGTTAATCTTATATTGCCATTCTTCCATCTCAAATGAAGAAGGTCTGGACAAATTATTGTCTGAAAACATCAGATATTAAGATATTAAGAACCTCAAGCTACTGTAAATGTGGTTGGTTGACTTTATTATTATTATCAATAATATTTAGAAGCTAAATGGAATTCAGCCATCATTCATTTTGTAATTTAAATTTACCTGTTGTGATATGTCAAAACATCGTATCAAATAATCTTGTTTAGGTTTAGAGTAAGTTAACAGGAGTGGTGACTATGGTGTGGGACTTTGGTTACTGGTTCGGTTACTTTAGTAAAGGAGTTGGGATTTGTACAGTCCCTTAATTTGGAGCAAGTTACACTTCTGTCTGTGGCATTCAGACCTAAGCCCATTTGTTCTTTCTGAAGATGTGCGTTGAAAGAAAAGGGGGAAAAAATGTCACAAAAATAGAGTTTGATTTTATTTAAAAAGGTCATAAAACAGGAGTGCACTGTTTAATCAAACGTTAATCAACAGAGGTAAATAGTGCATTTGTTGAGGACTATTTTCAGCTGTGAATTAATACAAATTTGGAGCACTAATGAATATTTACAGCAGCAAGGCTGGGTATGATTTGACTTAATAAACTACGGTGCCTATTTTAATAGTAATGAACTTACAGGGCAACACTGGCTCACTGATTTGAGTTTTTGGGAAACAATGGAGGTTAGTTATATCAGGCTTTAGCTACACAGGTAACACATGTTAGTAGGATCAAATCATTGTTGGTTTTTATCTTGGATTATCTCATGGATAAATCCACTTTGTTGACCATGAAAAAATCTATAACATTTCACAAGCCATGTCCTGTCAATAGTAGAAAAGTTAAGGACTTTTATAGCCAGTATAACTAAACAATTTATACGGCCACAGTGAAAACAAAACTTAGGCCAACATGATATTGACAGTGGGAGGTAAGGAAAGCACTTCTGAGCGCCAAGCCAAGCCTCTTTTGTATTTACTGTATTTTGAACATGATGGAGGTCTGACCATTGAAGCAGATCCTACATTGAATTGCATACATACACTGTACCATACATGCAGGTCATCAAGTGAGACTTAACTACTCTAAAAAAAAAAAAACAGACAGCCCCAGACATTTAGTTTGGTCATATTTTTATGCTAGCTTTCCTAAATGCTATGTTCATTTCACTTACTCCAACCAAATATGGAAATATATCTGTCTTGAGTCTAATGAATTTTGATTTCCTTTTTCTATAGCTAACTGGCAAACTGTTTCTGCTTTAAAGTCACATCATAATCTTGCACATTGCACAACACATTTTCCGTTATTCGTTTTCCTTTCTTCTAACCTCACTGCATATTTGTTCAACTTAACTTATACAACATTGACAACACACATCTACATCGTACACATGTGAACACCATGTGATGTTCCGGTTTCAGCTCATTCAAACCATTTAAAAAGAACCCTTGAGCAGCAGTTTAAAATGTGGAGAGTAGAGAGGTCTGACATGAGAGAAATAAAAGAGATAAGAACGAATAGCAATAATTGTTGTTTCAAGTTGTCTAATGTCTTTTTATTGTCCAGCAGAGTGGTTCTTCAAGAAGCAGTGGTTTGTGATGCAGGCCTGGGGTGCTGTGCTTTCACAAAGGTCATATGAACACTGAAGCAGATTAGCAATTCAGATTGGGCTAAAGGGGCTGCCTGAGTCTGATTACATTAGCAAAGAGTAGGAGTGCAAATGCACACAAGTGATTAGATGGCATAAGAAGGAAGCAGCTATAAGATGTTAGAGGAAACAGATTCATGCACATGCATATATGCATGTACACAGTTTCTGGCAAACAGGCATTACAATAAGGTATGACTCACAATAAACATATAAACAGCACATGATTCCATTGTGAAGGTTTATCCACAGTATATCCTCCCACTAACTATGCTTCCTCACACACACACACACACACACACACACACACACACACACACACACACACAAGGATTATCAACACTCACAGCCTGGCACCCTGACCATCTGCCCTTGTACAATATCCATCTTGTAGAAATGAGTTTGGGCTGCTGTATCATTATTAGGGCAGCTTTTAAGGGAAGACCTCCTGCTTTCCAAGTGCATTCCCTGACCTGTATTATAGTGCTGTTGTGGTGATGGTGATGCAGCTCTCCCAGCTTTGGACACATTTGAAAACAACTTTCATTACAATTACAAAGGTTAATTTCAAGGAAATTGGTCAAGCTGCATGAAACTTTTCAAATTTCTGCAATGTGGATATCTCCCACATCCCTAGTGTGTTAACCATATTCCACATCTCCCATACCAGCAATTCCCAATCCTGTTCATGAAAGACCTCCACGCTGCATATCTTCCATCTATCACATGGGCTCATGATATCCTGTTTGGCTGAATTTAGCTAATCAGGGTGAAAGTGGAAGAGATGGAGAACATGCAGTGGAGTGATATGCTTTGTTCAAGAAATAACGTTGGTGTTGGTCTTAGTGCCAATGAAGTGAACTATATAACCATACTTCACTGCCAGACAATGGAGTACACAGCTAAAAAAAAAACAAGCGTGTCCTCCTGAAAGGCCTTTTGCAGGGCCCCACGGACAGCAAGCACACAGGAGGATGCACAGCTGAAGGAGAGCTGTAGCCTCTGCAACAGTCCAGTGCCCAACAAATGAAATAGATTGTAGTGTAATTCCCCACCATGTTTCTATTTACAGGTAGGTTTTCATTGTTCAGCACAGCCGAGTGGGCCTTGACGCCTGAAGTAACAAGACAGTGTGTTAATCTGTGTATCTGTTTGTGTGTAGGTGATATAGACCTAGGTATGTCATGCTGTTGGCATACACGACATGCATCCCGCTGGCTGAGATATGTGCCGTAAGACCGTCATGTTATTGGAACAACAAGCAAACTGGGGACAATACAAAGCCTGGATTAGATGCAGAAATCACTCGTGTGCTATTAACGATATTGAAATGAGTACCACTCAACAGCCCTCTCTCCCTTCATTTCACAGAGCTGAGGTGCAAGCCTGGCCCTTACTACAAATGTCAAACTTCACTTCCAGAGTCACAGTTCACAAAGTAGTCCATATTAGAAAGATTGGAGTGCCAGAGAAAGAGAACGGAGGAAAAAGAGAACGGAGAGAGAGAATGATGAAGGACTGCAGACAGTTGACCTGTCTTCTAGCCCCCCCATGCCATTTTCATGTGGTGTAAATATGTGTTTGTGCAAAGCCTGAATGATGCAGTAAAGCACTGGTGGTCTGACTCTAAGAAATAAATACCAATATACTGACAGATATGCCCAACGGTTGCCATGACGACTGTAAACCCACCCCCTTTGCACTTGGCCGTGTGCGCGCGTGTGTGTGTGTGTGTGTGTGTGTGTGTGTGTGTGCGCGCGCGCGCGTGCGTGCGTGCGCTACCCGGCCTCGGTAGTCCTACCTTGCATTCCTCCATGCACGTCCTAACCGAGTATGCATCCGTCTCGTATTTCTGAACCAGCAGTTCAAACTCCCGGTAGTTCTCCTCCGCCAGCTGGTCAAGACTCTGATAAGCCTGCACACACTTTGTGCATCCCAGCAGATCAACCCCCATGGCCATATCCAGGGTGCAATTCAAATCGTCCGGACTCGTAAACCCGTAAAACAAATCCAAAAGTGAGTAGGAATTACAAAAAGAAAGGTATAAATCGCTCAGATTCACGTACGCCAACTGTGTCCCCTTTTCCCCTCCACCGGAGAGGCCCAGGCACACGGTCTCCGCGTCCGTGAAAGTAAAGCAGTCTTTGGACAGGCTGTCAGGGTGACAGGTGTCCATTCGCCACAGAGGTTTGGTAGAATTCCCTAGAAAAATAACATCTTGCTCTCTGGCGAGACGGTGGGGGTCAGGTGATGTTTGGATATGGTGTTGGTGTTGGGAGTTTGGGTACTCGCCCATGTCCGTAATTGCAAGCCCCTCGTCCGACCGCTTGTCTCGGGTTCGCGTCAGTTTCGCCTCGGCGCAGAACCACAAGTGATCAGAGAGCAGGACGGTGATGAACAGCAGAGAGGCCAGCGACAGTCGCCATCTCTGGGCCCGCTCCGACTCGGTAAATGGCTTCTCGTTCTCTCGGGGTGCAAACCAGAATTTTAAGCCTTCATCATGCTGCCGACGCATCCAAGCACCCCTGGTCATATTTTAGGAAAGTGCTGCCCTGGCCGACTCCACCGCGGGGGCTGCTCTGCCACAATACTCATTGACTTGGGGGGAGATGGACTCCGGTTGGTTCTCCTCTGTAACGGTGGGGTGCCGTGCCTCCGCCGGTCCAGGGCGCTCCTCAATCGCGCCCGCAACAATCGGTGCTATTCCGATCCAATTAGCGCGCCCGCACAGATTAAGCTTCGCGCTGCCGCATCCCGGTTCTCCATGGCTCTCCGGGGGGAAACGGCGTCCTCTTTGACCGCATGCCCCCTCTCCTTATCGTCCCTTCCCCGGGTTTGTTCTCTAGTCGGGGGCGCAGGGAGACCAGCTGTTGCGAGCCTCTCGGTACTGATGCTGCGCGTCTGCAGCCGTTCGCTTTGCAGATTCACTTAAAGGAGAGCAACGAGCCCTTTCGATGCACGCAGGCTGGTTTCTCTGTCCCGTACCTGGGCGGAAAGCCTAGAATCATTTCTCCCGTTGGCCATTGTCATCTTGGACCGCGGTTAAGTTGCCGCCATGTTCGTCTTGAAACACTTTTTCGGAGAGCTGGGTCTGTTTGCGTCATCTCCATCGTTGCGATAGCTCCATCGTTGCGCAGTGGCGGAGCAGCTTATTACCTATGTGCATACACACACACATACACACACACACACACACACACACACACACAGAGGGAGGGAGAGAGAGAGAGAGAGAGAGAGAGGGAGAGAGAGCACAGACACATTTAAAGGTGGTAAAGGATGTTTTGGGTATCCACTCTGCTCTTCATGAGTCCTAATAGTCGCCAAATATTGTCTTGGTGAAGCACAAACACACACTTTTGGCGACATCTTGCTTTTGGTGCAGGATAGACGGGATTTCATTCACAAGAACAACAATGCAGTTAAGACATCACACTCACTGTTTCCATATAGTAATTAAGATTCATTGATCCGGACCATTTCATACACGCAAGGTAGGCTGTAAATCCTCAAAATTACAGAGCTTTCTCTCTTACCCAGAGGAGACGGATGTGAAATTAAGATGTAGGAAATTAAGGCTTTGACAACACTAGTGAAAACTAGTCAGGCTTGAGCCACAGAACAAGCGGAAAGCAGCTGAACAAGCACAAGGTTTAACAATATCATATAGCTACGTGTTCCCTGCAAGTGGGTCCCCATCTTATCAGTTGTGTTGTGTTTGGTGAGGGGGTTGAAAACAAACACATGATTTACAGTATGGCCCTATATGTAATGTTACTGTTGTGGTGTGTGTGTGTGTGTGTGTGTGTGTGTGTGTGTGTGTGTGTGTGTGTGACTGAGAGGGAGGGAGAGATAGGTGGTAGTTGCTCTAGGGTGCTGAAAGTAAATTACAGTATTTATCCTCATCCTTAAAGCTACTAATCATTGTCAGTGTGCATGGCTTGGAGTGCTACCAAAGAGAGTGTTGCTTAATGTTAATGGGCTGTATATTGGGGATAAGACAAGAGATGATTACCTGATTAATTTGTGCTTAAGGCAGGGCGGGAGGCAGCTCTTTCTACAATTTGTTGTTGGGGAAATGTGCTCTTCTAACACCAATCCAATTAGTTTTAGTGCAGCCAGTATCCCTCTGCCAACAAAAAATTATGCAACAACACACTGAATAGTGCTGGGAATTAAATGAAAATGGTATATATTGAGTACTGAAGAACAGCACTGAATTTGAGCACCATGCATGGCTCTCCGCTTATTGTTATCTGGGTGAACGCTGTAGTTTACTGAACTATGTAAAACTGACCTCAAACACAACAAAAGTGTGTTTATTCTCTCTTGTTGTGTTGATGATGGCATTGCACCTTCAGTTGAGTGCACTCCAGAGCTGTTAAAGGAAAAAAATAAATAAAAAAGTCAGTAATGTAGGGCCATTTCTGTTAGGTTGTCCTGAGTTGAGGGAACAAGTCTTGTCAATAACATAATTTGTTTTATGTATTGCCAAATGTCAGTGGGTACGCACACAAGGAGATTCAATTTGCTTGATGTTTTCGAACCCTCTCGTCCCGTGATTCAACCGGTGACTGAAAGTTCAACACGCAGGGCCTGAATTTTGTTAAGAGCATTAACTGGATTCGAAGACGTGGAAGGTGTTATGGCAAACATCTGTTGTGTCAGTGCTAGGGGTGTTTGAATGCTAACCATTCATCACTCATTGCTCTCACATATTATGTCACTGCAGGATGCTGTGATCATGCCTCGCGGGGATAGATCCTACCCTGGCTGGGATTGTGTAGTCTGCCTTAAACTGTGGTTGCTCAATTTCATGTCTACCCTAACTGTGGTGTGTTTGTGCATGTATGTGTATGTCTGTGCCCTTCCCACGCCCTGGTCAGGAGTCTCATATAATGCCAGATCTGCAAATTCATTGTTTTCGAGCTGAAAGCAACTCCTGAGAGCAACTCCTGAGAGGTGGCCAATCAACAACATACGGAGTGTGTGTTTGGCACAGCGGAGAGTTGTCAGCTTCACACCACCCCAACGCTTTCCTACCTGTGTGTGTAGGAGACAGAAGTAGTGTGAGGAAAAGAGTGAGACAGGAGAGAGAGAAAGAGAGAAATATTATGTCTGTGAAATGAATGCAGATTGCTGACCCTTCAATCTGAAGCCATCACAGTAACAGTAAGGGCCGGCAGACGTGACTCATGCTGGGGAACGTGTGTGTGTGTGTGTGTGTGTGTGTGTGTGTGAGCGTCCTTTCAGAAACAACTGTACATACATGGGTACAATTGATTGTATTATCTCATTGTATTGATACATAGCTCTTGCTTAATCAAAGGTAATTTGCACAGTTCAAAAGCACACAATAAGTGCGTCATTCAATATCAAAACCCCTTTAATATCTATTTTTACATCATTGTCCTGTCTGGCTTGTCAACAGCCAGTGTCATTCAGATTAAACTCAACCATCTATTTATATGTGTCTATTTATAAATGTTTTGTAAACAAATCAAAAATAACCAAGTTGGAGGGTTCATTGCCCCTTTAAGTCACTGATTCTGATTCAATTCCAACCACAAAAAGTAAGCACATTCACTGATGTGTCTCCTGAGTCATACAAGAAACATAAACCTGGCTGTTTAAAAACAAATATTTCAGTATTTTTAAGTTTCTTTGTGCACCCCGATGTTCACTATCTCGTCACTGCAATGTGTTTCCCCGCTCATCAGCATTCCTGATGGAGGGAGACAGGGAGGAGGAGGAGGAGGAGACGTTGCTGCCGACAGTCAGAGGAGGAGGAGAAAAGAGACAGGTGACATCATCCAGCTGTGCCATTTGCCAAAACCTGTGTCAAATCCACAACCTTCACACCCGCGACGGTGGAAATTGACCTCTTTAGGTGGATCTGTCACTATATCTGTTTCCAGCTCTCGTTCGCTCTTTACAGCTGGCTTCAAAATGCATGCTCTTCTCTCTCTTCCTCTCCACTTCTATTTTCCCTTTTTCTCTTTTTCCTACCGCCACCATCTCTCTCCATCCTTCCTCTCCCACTCAGCTGACCCTATACGACTCTTCTGATTTGACTCTTCCTCAAGCTCTCGCTCACCATCACCCTATCTTCCTCTGTCTCTCAGTCTCACTCTCCTGATGCGCTTTCATCCGCCTGACGTCAGAGTGGAGAAGAAGACAGGCTCAGCCTCTCTGATTGGTCAGAGAAGACAACACCCTCAGCCCTGGCTTACTGAGCCTGAGTGGATGTTGGGGATGGATTTAAGGTTAGTGTATTATCCCACTCAAGAACTAGTATAATATGCACTTGCAAAGATGTGTTTGTGTTTATATGTGTGTGCATAGATGCATGTGTTTGTGTGTGTGTCTGTTTTGTTTGTCTGCTCTTATGTGGGGTTATTCTGCTGCTGTGAGTGTGTGCCACGGTGTTAATATATTATTATTATTTGAAGGAGAAAATTCATTCTTAGGAGTAGTAGTTTTCACAAATATACATCAGCTCAAGGTCGACTAGCTTTCAACTGCATCTAACTCCATCTCCATCGGCGAGTATGCTCGGTTATAATCCCCCAACATAAGTATGGAATTGTTTTTGAAGTATTTTTGCAAGTTTTAGCTCTTAACTGGAAACCATGTGTAATCTACAAATAACGAGTTTCCAAAATATTCTATCTAGGTTTTTTTTCCCCCCTGTATTAGACAGGATAGTTTGAGACATGGACACGCAGAGAAACACAGTAAGGGGCCACAGGTTTGATTCGAACCCATTTGATATTTTCCATTATTGTGTCTGATATGAACAGCAACTGTAATAGAACTTGACAAAAACAACAAAATGTGATGGATTACACAACAAAAGACTCTGGAGTCCACCCATTGATTTTCAACCATACAGAAATGAATGGGAACCAATGGCTGCCTGGAAGGTGAAAAAAATAAAATAATGTAAAAAATAATCTGCAGTGATGTAATGTATACATTATTTGCCATCAATGAGATTAAATATGCAGACTGGTATGGTCCGTGCTTGTATGTGAGGAGTGATTGGTGAAACAAATGTACATTGTTCACACTGTTACTGTTCAGTCACAAAGGGGATTAGGCCGATGATGGAGATACCATCATGCAGTTCAGCTCCCCAACCAGCACCACCTCCACTCAGCCTCAGGGTTTTACTCTCCTGATCGATTGACTCACCCCATTTCCATTCCAGGAATCCCTCAGCGGCTTATCAACACAGCTCACTTTCCCAAGGACACTGCCGATTCCCATATCCATGATCCTGGATTCCTGGCCTATATTTCCACCGTGGAATCTGGATCTCTGCATTCACCTAGCCTCAAGCTTCAAAGGAAATGTGCCTGTCAGGGAAGGCAACTTGTACCTCGCCAGGGAAACATACAGAATACAAACACATCCTAGAGAAGACTGGTTTGTGTTTGAATAAAATCTACTGATGGAAAGTCTCTTGCATTATTATGTGTATTATTGTTTAACTGGTAACTTAAACATTTTATTCACCACAACACTTCACAACAGTTAACTGAAACACTGCTGAAGATGTGCATAACGTGATTATGTGTGTGTGTGTGTGTGTGTGTGTGTGCGTGTGTGTGTGTGTGTGTGTGTGTGTGTGTGTGTGTGCGTGTGTGTGTGTGTGTGTGAGGGCGTGTTTGTTCTCTCTTACCTTGATATTACATCACTGATGGCCTAAGACTATATCCTGATGCTCTCACAGTCTTTACACAATGTCATGCATGGGCAATGATTGCCCTCTCTGGCAAAGTCCCAGAAGTTTGCAGAAATGCTAATCACATAGCAGGTTTAACTAGATAGATAGATAGATAGATAGATAGATAGATAGATAGATAGATAGATAGATAGATAGATAGATAGATAGATAGATAGATAGATAGATAGATAGATAGATAGATACTTTAGATACTTTAGATACTAGAAACTAGTCTATTTTCTAACAACATAACAATTTAAAATTAGTTTTTCTCTTTGGACAGCAAAGAAGATGCATTTTGCACATGATTTACTATTTGACACTACCGTAAAAACAGGTTTTGAATGGTTAAGAATTGATGAGGAGACATCTGTTGTTTTCTCATAATGTTTGAGACATGTTTGTACATTTATGGTTTCCATATGAGGTATACCCATGACTGTGGTGATCTCCTGACTTTTCATCTACTACCACCATCAGATCAAAATTCCAGTTTGTCTAACACTTTGCAAAGCAATGTAAAAATTATACACAATCTGGCTTTAAGGAAAGAGATTAAGCAATGCCTAATCAGACCAGAGATATACACACATTTCTAATGAGATCTTGAATGCAAGGAGTGTCTTGATCAGCACCAAAACTATGGGCCCGCTTCCTCCAGATGGAGGGAGCAAGCCCCTGTAACATCATCTTCAGCCCTAGAGTAAACAGCAGAAGGCAGGATTTACAGGGACTCCATGGCTGAGAGTGAGGCTCCACACTCCAGCTGAGAGAGCTGAGGCCCAGCCCAAAGGGTTTTTGTCACCAAGAATCCCTGCTGTCATCACCAACCTGAGGTGGACCTACAGTACCTTATTCCCTCCCTGTCTGTCTACCTAATCTCATCTCCTACTCCTCTGTCGTTACATTAAATTCTACTGACTTAAAAATAGAGATCAAACCGATTTCGAGTAGGTGTTCTTCTGCGCCTGCACAGAGCTGTTATCACTTGAACTTAGTATTCCTCGTGTGATGCGAGCATACATAAAAATTTAATTTGCTGAATTTAATGGGACAACACATAGAAGACTTTGGATGAACCATTTATTAATCCAAAGCATGGTAAAGTGCATGAGCAAGGAAAGGAACCTGGCGTTTCTAAATGCATTTGCCTCTCACTAATCTGTGCTGTCAGAGAAAAGCACCTCCTGATGAAAGGGATATGTCTGCCCCTGGATCCAACAGGAAAGTGGGAGAAAAAAATGCATATTGAAGCCTTTGAAGAACTGGGAGTGAAGTCAAATCCTGGCTAACATGGAACCTGAGCAGCATCCAGCACCGAAATCCAGTCACCTCTCATCCTGTAGGAGTGGTGTGTTCACAGCAATAAAGATACAGCTACTACCCAGATTGTGTTTGGGATGGGGCTGGAGAAAGGCCAGGGTAGCTCTGCTCCAATCCCCCAGCCTCATCTCTCCTTCCCTCTCCTCTTCTGCTTGTAGTGTTAGTATGCTGAGCCTTCGAACAACACCAAGCAGTCCTTTAAATCGACTGTAAGTCAGTGGTTAAAACACACCTCACAGGGCTAATCACACAGGTCCTAGCTAATTTATTTTCTTCAATCTGTGTCTCACTTATGTCATCACTGTCTTACTGTGTAATTGTAAAATCAGATCAGATGTAATATATCAGCAAAAGAGACTTATTTTACAATACATGTGCTATCGCTGCCTTTTTGGCAGCCTTATTGCTGCTCTTTTGGTGCTTGACCAGCTTAGTTATCATAGCCAGCAGTGCCTGTCTGTAAGCTGTCAGTCTGTCAGTCGGTTGGCAGGTCCACCACTTTGGTTCAGGCTGAAATAACTCAACAGCTATTCAATGGATCGCCATGGAGTTTTGTACAGACACATTCATGTTCCTCAGAGGATGAACGCTAATGACTTTTGTGATCCCCTGACATTTCCTCTAGCGCCACCAGCAGGTCATAGTTGTCACTTATGAAGGAAATATTTACAGTAACATTTGCTACATGAATTTGACCAAAATTTCATACGTACATTAATGGTTCCCAGACAATCAATCCCAAAGACTTTGATGATCCCCTCTAGCGCCACCATAAGGTTCACATTCAAGGTTTTAAGTGAAATGTCCCCACAACCACTGAATTAATTGCCAGTAAATTTAGTACATTCATTTCCTCACAGGATTAATTGTAATAACTTTGGTGATCCCCTGACTTTTCATCCAGTGCCATCACCAGGCCACAATTGTAATTCCTTTATGCAAGCCTAATGACATTCCCATCAGCCTCAGCTGTACATTGTGCTCATTAGAAAGTATAAGCACGCTAACATGCATGCTAAACTAAGATGGTAGACATTGAAGAGATTCCACTTGCTAATGTTAGCATTGTCATTGTGAGCATGTTAGCATGCTGACATTTGCACTGCGTCCCAAAACACCCTCACAAAACTGCTATTGGGCTGTAGACTCTTCTAGTCTTGTTATCATGTAGCTTAGTTCCTCACTCAGCATCTCTATGTGGCTTCTTTGTTTGCAAATAAAGCCAAGGTTCAATCGCTATCTAATCTAGTATGCAAGGTGGTGTGTTCTGAGTGTGAGCCCGGGCCTGTGTGGCACTGTGCTGTACTCGGCCTAAGCCCTTACTCTGCGTCATCCATCTCATCACACAGACGGGCCGACCTCAGATGACTTTGCAGACACACTCTGCAGTCTACCAGTCACGTGCGAATCTCTCCCTCTCTCCCTGTGGTGGCTTGCTCTACTTCTGGTCACAGCACACATCTGTGCTTCTCCTGGCAATCTAAAATCTACGCCTAAGTGAGACAATCAAAGGTGGAGTGCCATCCATTAGCGACTGTTCACAAGTTGCTTTTTAGATACAGCACTGTAAATTCAGTTAACCTGGGACCATGTTAAATGCAAAGATCGTGTCACTGTTAATTGTGTTAGTCGCCTATTTGCAGCTTGACTAACAGCGCCATAAAAAAGCTGCTTTGATGTGAAAGAGTCTTGCCTCCACTACAGCAACAAGTCACAGCACACACACTCATGACCCCTTCCTTCCTAAACAACCATCCTCTTTTCTCTCTTGGACACTTATCCTTTCTCTCCATCAGTCATGCTCCTCTCTGTGAGGCTCTGTAAATATCTACCACAGACAGAGTAAAGTTCAGGAAAAGGTCAAAAGTGATAAATTCTGCACTGGCTCTGTCTACTGTGTATCACTGTAAAGCCGGAGTTTGAGAAGGCACCCAGTGTTTCACCTCAGTGTATCCATGGTTTCATCAGCTGAGAAGACAGCAGCAACATGATCTGCCTTCATTTTTCTAACAGCTACTATCAAGCATGTAAACCATTGCTGCAACCATTAAAACAGACCCTCTCAGCAATGATCCGTGGAAAAACATCAATTCTTTTCACCGTGGTCCTCTGGGCTCGCTGGAGCTGTGATGCATTGCACCACAGAGATGCTCGATTTACAGAAAGGAGACTAGGGGAGAATAAATGATATGCTGAAATTATGGCTACAGTTAAATCAATCTGCCTGAGAAGATCGGCATCCTCTGATTTTGCGAGCTCCCGTCACACAGCAGCGCTAATTTATGGGGTCACATTGGGGTCATGGCTGTAGCTGCAGTGATACACTGTAATCAAGCTAGGGTCCAGAGAGCCGAGGCCTGGGGAACATAAATCAACCACATGCCACTATATATTGCTGGGTGGTGAACTAACACTCACTTGCACTCTCTCTCTCTCTCTCTCTCTCTCTCCACACACACACACACACACACACACACACACACACACACACACACACACACACAGCAGGACAAATAAGCTTTAACTCATTTATCCAGGTATCACACGGTCATCAGGATGCACACATTCACACACAGATACAGAACAACCAGCTCTCTGCTAATTCCTCCCATTAACAGTGACATTTAAAGATATCTCCCCCAGTGCACAGTCGCCAGTGTAAAGTACCTTTTCATTAAGCTCTTATTGTATGGGCCTCAGGGGTGAGGAGGGGAGGTGCCTGGGAGTGTGTGTCTCCCTGTGTGTGTGTGTGTGTGTGTGTGTGTGTGTGTGTGTGTGTGTGTGTGCATGCGTGTGTGTGAGGTAGAGAAAGATAGAGAGAGAGAGAGAGAGAGAGAGAGAGAGAGAGAGAGAGCTTGAAATAGACAACAACTAAGAGCCAAGTGTGGAGATAAAGAGTGGAAGATTTGGAGGGGAGGCAGTGATATATTGTCAGGATTCACAGGTTGAAACTCTTGTCTTTAAATCACAAGGTTCCCTGAGCAATGGCTATTACGCTGACTTACTACAGGGTCATATGACTGAATAGGGAGAGATATAGGAAGCCGGATACATATATCACTACATGGAGCTGTATGCTGGCCCTTTCTCTTAATTCCCCCCACTCCCCCTCTCTCTCACTCTAGTCTCTTTTCACACAACTGCCTGTGTACAGGTAAATATTACACATTTCGAAAATTGCATGTTGTCCTATAATAACCAGGTCATTTACTTTGATTTTATAGCAGCCATGGATGATAGCATTGGTCAGTGAGACCAGTATGTTCACAAAAGGTCTTGATTGGATGAATAATTGTTGAGCCTGTAGTGCCTACGAAGCAATGTGTTGGTGTTAGTAGACTTACTTGCCCCCAGCTGGGCAATTAGTCTTTATTTGTAGCACACTGCTTCAGGATCTGTTCAGGACATGGC